GCTAAAATAGTTCAAAATTATCTTTAAAACATATTTTTAAATATCAATTTTGAAATCTAAACAATTATAAATGTTTTTTTTGGAAAAATAATTTCATTTCTACCAAACAATGAAAAATGTGGGGGAGAATTTTTTTCCTTAGAAATCATTTTCCCCTGGAAAATAATCCTCTCGGAAAATATTCCCCCCCAACCAAACACACCCTTAATGTTTTTTTTCCTTTTCTGTTTATTCAGTTTCAATCCTATGGTCCATCAGCCGTCTCTTTTCAGACTTCAGTACAGACAGTTAAGCATTCCACCACAAACCACCGTGTTCCGCCGCTAAGTACTGCCATTGTTGACCTTGATGCTAGGACTAGACAGGGTTCTGGCAGGTTTTGGAACAACAGAAAAAAATGTAACCAAAACTGGACAAAGATGAACACGACATTTACAGCTCAAACCTTGGCTCAATTTGATAAATTTAAAATTTGATGCTAGAAGTTTGAGACAAGCAGTTTCAACAAGGTGTCTATTTCACCCAGAAACTCCACTTTGTAGAGTGCCAGAACAAGATTCACGAAGTTTTTCTTTAGCACTCAATTAGATAGTGGACCAGAAAACTATTATGGCATTATAACTGCACAAAGTCTTGATAGACACCTCAAATTGATTTTTAATTTCACTGTGAAGCTTTTGAAAAACATTGATTACTTCAGATCTTTGCTTTGTTTGAAAACCCACCTACACCAAGACAAATCATCAATATCAACCTGTTTGGAACCTTCTGTACTTTGGAGTTATATTAGAAATTGAATTCATGTGGGAATTGGATTGAATAAGTTTGGGAACTTTCCCAGTCCTTCTCTCAGCCCCTCACCCCCTTCATGTTATCTCTCCTCCCTCTCTACTGCTCTCCTTCTTAGAGTTCCTTGACTGTTGAAGACTGAAATGCTTTGAAGCTGAGTGGTGCGGTGGTAGAAGAGCTGCTGAAGAAGAAAAACGTAGTGCTCTGATAAAAAACAGGCAATCGTGCGGCGAGGAAGAGTGATTTGATATCAGCCTTATTTGGTTCTGAGATACTTTTGGCCAAAATGATGGGTGAGTTACTACTTTTGGCCAAAATGATGGAAATGGAATCAGGCTTATTTTACATGCCTGACACCTACCTAATACTATGGAACAATTGGTCAGAGCTTCTAACTACCAATCATAGGCTATTTCGATGGAGATGCATTTCAAATGTCAAGATCAATCCCATCACACACGCAAGGCCTAAGTAAGACCAGGAAGGCTTACTTGTATGAAAGTACTCTTTTTTGTACATCAGGACTACAGCATACTCGGAATAATGATTTGTTAAGAATGAGTCCGTTTAAAGTGTGGATCAAAGTGAGAAATTTTGCCTATTTTTAACACTAACAAATAATGGGTAAATAATGAAATCAGAAAAATGCATACACCAACAAAAAGAATAACTCCAAATGATAGATGATCATTGAGAATCTGGCAATAAGATCAATAGCTACCTGGAAGATTGCTTTAGACAAGTTAGGAATTGTATGTAACAGTTGGCGGGCATGTTCCTTGTTTTGTGTTGCTATACCCTGCCATAATACCAACAATTAATAATAAGCCAAACTAAAATTTGAGAGCTTTAACCATAAAAGACACAATTCACCTATCATTTTCATCACTAAAATGATAGTTCCACAAACTTGTAAAGGGTTGGTTGCGCAGGACAAAATGGGTAGTTAGAGCATCTCCAATGGAGATGCTAAAAATGGGCAGCCATAAACATATTTTAGAATATGTACAGTGATTTGGATGTTCTTATTTTGGTATGTGCTCCAACCATAGCTGCTACTCTCCCTCTTCCATATAAATTTAATATGTTTTACTTTTTTATTTCTTTGCTTTGTGTGGATGTTAGCATTTCTCTCTCCTCTCAATTGGTTACCGTATTTAATTTTATTAATATTTTATTATAGCTGATAACTTTTGATCATTTATATATAGCATGTGTAAAGTGAAAAATAAATACTTCTCTATTTTTTGAAGGACCCGTTGGAGCCCATTATTAAGAATAGTGAAGTCTAAAATTTCTACTTTTTAAACTATGAAGGCTCCATTGGAGATGCTCTTATGGCTTTTCTAGGTTCGCGAAGATTAAAAAATNTCTCCTATCATTTTCATCACTAAAATGATAGTTCCACAAACTTGTAAAGGGTTGGTTGCGCAGGACAAAATGGGTAGTTAGAGCATCTCCAATGGAGATGCTAAAAATGGGCAGCCATAAACATATTTTAGAATATGTACAGTGATTTGGATGTTCTTATTTTGGTATGTGCTCCAACCATAGCTGCTACTCTCCCTCTTCCATATAAATTTAATATGTTTTACTTTTTTATTTCTTTGCTTTGTGTGGATGTTAGCATTTCTCTCTCCTCTCAATTGGTTACCGTATTTAATTTTATTAATATTTTATTATAGCTGATAACTTTTGATCATTTATATATAGCATGTGTAAAGTGAAAAATAAATACTTCTCTATTTTTTGAAGGACCCGTTGGAGCCCATTATTAAGAATAGTGAAGTCTAAAATTTCTACTTTTTAAACTATGAAGGCTCCATTGGAGATGCTCTTATGGCTTTTCTAGGTTCGCGAAGATTAAAAAATATGTCTTGGAATATGAGGTTTGGATTGAGTGGGAAATGGGTCATTGGAGTGTGGGCGAGTGGTGTTATTGATGATGGTGTATGTCTTCCTTAAAGAAACTTTCAAAATGCTGCAGTTCAATGTATCCATAAACAAAATATTTCACAGACCTTTATGTTAGAAATTATTTCATACAGCTGACTCCTTGTCATTTTAGAAAGGTAATGAGATAGAGGATCAATGGCAGGTCCAAACTGATTTTGTAGACCTGTCTGCGTCACTGAGCTACCCATTTGAGCCGCTCCAAGAGCTCCAGCCATGACGTTGGCAGCAGCTGTAGCTACTGGATGTCCAATTGGCATGTGTGAATTTGAATTTCCATGAGTAGATGGCCCACTAATTTGTTTTTGAGCATCTGCAGTTCCAGGTTGAAGACAAAATCTATGATAAAGCATTCTTCATAAGAGAGAGATTATGGAAGTACTAAAGCAAAGAGTAGAATGAAACACACCAGCAGCTGCAACCATACCAGGTCCACCACGGCCCTGTAAGAACGATGAGAAACATGAGAAATGGCAAGAAAGTACTTCGAACAATATAAAGCTCATTCCTAGCCCTAAAGTTTAATTTAAAGTATATAGGATCTATATATTGCTTGAGTAACGACTGTCATTCCTCCAAATAGGATGGAGGATATGGAACAAATGTGGGACAAAGACTCTTAGTCAATGTGCTTCTACGAGAAACAAAGCTCTATTCAAGTGGGGTGCGGTGGCGGGACACAAAAGCAGTTTTTAAATCCAATATCAACTACTTTTCCAAGGAAAGAGAACACCAGCAGTCCCCAGATTTCATTAATATTACACATGCACCCCCTCCCTCCTTCAATCCTTCCCATAAAATAAGCCATTCAACACCGGTGCAATTTTGTAACTATTGTAGTTAAACTTCATGAAAATCATTGTTTTGTTTTTGGTTTAAACAAATTTGGCAGCTTGAGCCGGGGGTCTCTTGGAAACAGCCTCTTTACTTTCAAGTAGGGGCAAGGTCTATGTACACACCCTGACCCTACTTTCGTGGGATTCAACTCGGTTGTTGATGTTGGTTTAAACAAATTTGACATATTCAACTTGTTTGGAACACTTTTGATATAAAAACATTCAATACAACAAATTGTACTCTTTTTTTGTCAAAAATAAGTTTAGAAACATATTTTTATTTTCTTTTTGTCTCCTTTTTATGAGTTGCCCAGAAAGTTCTCTATTGTGTGAGGCAAGCAACTCTTAAGCAGCTAGACAATAAACAATCATGAACATAAATTATGATGAATGCAGCTTGGGCCATGGATATCAAGTGGATGCCCAAATTCTCTGGTTTTGCTTTTTCTCAACATTTTTTCCAAGAATTAAGTTTATCTCCTATCAGATTCCTTTGTTCCAAGAACATGGGGCCGTCTACTTCTGTTTTCTGTTTTTGGTTTTATAGTTTTCTGTTTCTATTTTCTGTTTTCCAGTATTTTAGTTTCCTAGTTTTGCATTCTCTATTTTCTAATTTCTGCTTTTGGTTTTATAATTTGAAAGAATATCTTTACCAACATGCATTTCCAACATCACACATGTAATGTTGGGAGTTGGGCCCACTTGTGGTGGTTGGCAGCTATGGCCGGCTGGTAGTGGCGGCAGAAGTCAACAAGAATGGCATGGTCAGTGGGAGGTGGCCAATAGCAGCAGACAGGCAGTGGTAATGACAGCATTGTTAGGTGGTGAAGGTTGTCAATGACAGTGGGAGTTGACTGTGGCTACTGGTGGTGGTGGTCGCTATCAACGGTGGCAGTTGGTGGTGGTGGTGGTGATACTGTTTGTTAGCAGTATCTGTAGTTTGCCAGTGGTTACATGCATTGATGTTAGGGTGATTGGTTTCCTATTTCAGAGAGGTGGGGTCACGAATGGTGGTATTGGGCCACTGTTGGTGGCGTATGAAGATAGTCCTTGTAAGGGTGATTGGTTTCCTATTTCAGAGCAAAGGTTGGAGAACAGTTTTCTGAATTTGAAAAACATAAAAAGTCAACATGTTTTCTGTTTTTTTGTTAAAACACAAAACTTTCAGATTTGGTGAACAGCGCCATGATTACTTCAACAAATTTCCAAATCTTGAAAAGAGAACTTGTTCTAGTACTTTTCATATATTCACAAAACTAGAAAACGCATATTATGTTTTCCAAACTGTGAGTGGAAAGCAAGTTTCAAACAGCAACAAACCTAGTAAAATCCTTATGAGGGGGTCAGAGAAGGGCGAGTGTACGTAGACCTTACCCCTACGTGGGAAGTAGAGAGGTTGTTTTCAAGAGAAGAGACCCCCGATTCAAAACGTCTACCCTACGACCCTAATCTTGGACCTCCAGACATTCCTAGCTAAGATCATATCCTCGATTAGCTTCTAAAGTTGCAAGTCATGTCTAATCACTTCTTTCAAATTCTTCTCAGGTCTACCTCTATCCCTCCTTATGTCCCCTACCACAAGCATCTTGCATCTTCTCACTAAAACCTCCTTAGTGCATGCCCAAACCATATGAGTCTTAAGTGTCTAACTTCACGCAACTTATCCTCCACAAAGACCACTCCCACCGTCTCCAACCTCCTATGACCAAAAATCCATCTTAGCATCCTTCCCGGAGCTTCCTCACGTAAGTGTTTTTTGCCCAGCACTCTGCTGTCCAGTAGAACTTCCTTTTTGCAAGCTTTCACTTCATTGAAGCGATTCCAATACAATGAACAACATCCACATCAATCTCCCCATCAACCTGAATTATAGAACCAAGGTACCGACACATGTCCCTTTTAGGTACTACACGTACTAGATGTGTATCAATCCTCAATTCCTCATTTCCACTTCTGACTCAATCGTCAAACCACTGAAACATTCCAGGTACTCCGGACTCAATATTCGTTCTATTCAATCTGAAACTTTTGGGTTCCTAGGGATGTTTCCACACTTCTAACCTATCATTGAGTCACTTACGTACCTCGTCAATCAAAATAATATCATCTACAAAAAGCGTGCACCAATGTACCTCTCATTGGATATGTCACATCAAAACATCCACCACCAAGGCAAACGGACCGTACTAAGGGAAACTCATGATGGATACTCATCTCTACGGGAAAGTGATATGAGTCATTTCATAATGCACTCGCCCTGATGCTCGCCTCATAATACATGTCCTTAACAACTCAAATGTATGCTCCCGGCAGTCCGGCACCCCTCTATATTATAGGCACTTTCATATGATATATATGCCTTTTCCAAGTGAATAAACACTTTTAGGTCTCTCTACTTGTCATTATATTGCTCAACCTCGTCTCTATTATTAGTCCCCAAACCTTCATGATGTGATTGAGTAATTTAATGTCTCTGTAATTATAGTTATGGATATTGCCGTTGCCCTTGTACAACAGGTTCACCAGACTATCCATCCACTCTTCAGGCATCATAGCAATCTTAAAAATAACAATTAACAACTTGGTGATCCACACCAACCCATCTCTACTCACATCTTCCAATATTCTGTAAGGGGTCATGTCTGGTCCCCAAGCTCTCCCCCCTTCATCATGCTAATGGCAAAGCTCTCCCCCCTTCATCATGCTAATGGCTTTCACCGCCTCTTCTTGTCAAATGCGCAGACAATACCGATAATCTTGATGACTCTCAGAATGCCATTACTCACCTAATAGTACTCTCATCCCCTCAAACATTTAGAAGGATATGAAGGTATTGGGTTCTAACCTCCGAATCATGGATAGTAGCTACGACAAACTATGTAATCCATGACAGTGACCCTTTCCTTTTTACACTCGTACTACCACCCACAATGCCCTCCCCCCCCCCCCACCCTTGTGACATTTGTTAAAACCTACCAGTTTCAACCACTAACTCTATCAACATCACTACAACAATTAACCCTCAATATTGTCTAGAACTACCACCAATGATTATATTTAGTGTTGTGTTGCCAACAAGCGCTAACCACTACCACCATCAATGACACCGACTACAAACATTGTCATCATTGTTAACCCCCGCCGTCACCAATGGGCAATGACCACTGTCAACCAAAATTGTGACTGTCTACCACCATCGACCACCACTTCCACAATTAACCATTGTGGTCGTCTACCACCATTGCCAACGACCAATGCAATTGTCAACAACCACCAATCATGTTGCCGTTGCAGAGTGTCGGCCACCAAAACCACCACCTATACAAGTAACCCTTGACACTACATGCATGATATAGGATATGTGTTGGTAACATGCTTTCCATGTTAAAAAAACAAAACCAAAAAATTGGAAAACTAGAAAATACTGTAACAAATAGAGAAAAGAAGTAACAAAGGCCCTTTATTTTCTTCAAAATTTGGAAACCACAAATGGTATGCAAATTGAAAAATAAAAAGAAAAAAATGATTGTCACCACTCAAGAATCGACCATTGTAGCCCAACATTGACCATGAGAACATACTAAGACACCATAACCACAACCAACAACCACTCTCTATTGGGACCACCACGAGCAATCATCAACCACCGTACTTCCTAGCAGAAAATTAATGGCAAAGCGATAAATTTGTTAACCATAATGTTTCATCTTTTGGGTTTGGGAATGAACTCAAGAGGGAAGAGTGCCAATGTTTTCAGTTTTTGCATTCTAATTTGATGAATTGTTAATTGTGAACCCAAAAAAGGCTTTTCTTTTAGAAATCTGGAAAAACTCTTAAGTACTTGAACAAGCTATTAAAAAACTGAAATTTTCCATCAAACCAAATTTAAATAACAGCTTAACAAAGACAAATAGCCGCTTGAAAATAGTGCAAAGAAAATAAGTGAGAGCTGAATCTATTTAGAGTTAAGACAACCAATGAACCAGATATCTTACTTGTTCACGACTCTTATCAGCATTTTTATCATTCTCAGCAAAATCAACTCTTAATTGGCGGCCATTAATCTCATATCCCTGTAGATTACGACGAGCACTCAGTGCAGTCTCTTCATCCTTGTATTCACAAAATCCATAACCCTTGGGCCTTCCACTTTCTCTGTCAGTTACTAGCCTGAGGAGGAAAAACGTAAAATAGCTTTTAATTTCACGTTTCTTTATCAAAGTGAATTTTGAAAGATGTTTTAAAGATATTTAAGTACCTTTTACAATACTACCCATGGCCAAAAGCAAAAGACAATACAAAAATATCATAGCACTTCAAACAAATAAATGAATAATTGAAGTACAACACACCTAAAAACCAGAAAGGCATTACAACAAATAATTAAAAAAAAGTCCTATGTGAAGTGAGAGTTTTTACTACCACCCATACTCCTAGATTTAGTTTTGAAAGATTTGATCGAGAAAAGAGGGCCATGAGGCCCATAATCATTACACTTACTGCCTCTCTCTCTTATTTCCCCTACCCATCAGAAGATGACTAATAATTGCTTTGGACCACTTACTATTTTCTTTATACAAAAAGTGAAACTTCATAAGCATACAAACTACTATTACAGATCCAACATTCAATTCACTCATTATACCATCAATGGTATTCAATGTTTTTATGCAGAAGCATATATTCAGTACAGCAATTGAACTCTCACGTGATTATTTTTCTTTCCAGTACTAATTAAATACTCTGTAACTCTTTATCCTGAACCAATGTTTGGTGCTTTTACTAACATCATCATGGACTCAAACCATGTCCTGTATTGCTAAGTGCAATTACTGGTCTATAGACAAGTTCAGACTTTATTCAACCAAAAACAAAATTGTTAGATACTATTACATGAATGGGTTTTTCATGAAAGAAACTAAGAAAAATAAGTTATGAACTGTACTAATAATTCTCATTGCAATTTTTTTAAGATACTTGTCAGTCCGGGTAGTTGGGATTGTTTATTAAAATAAATGAAGTTAAATCAACTAGAAAACTAACCTGAAGGAAACAACAGGGCCAACCTCCTCACATATTTGAATTAGCTGCTCTTCAGAGGCATCATATGGTATGTTCCCAACTATATATTACCATCAACAATGTTTGAATTAACCAAATTGTTTGTCTTTTAATTAATATAATATACTAGGTAAATATTATGCGTCATGTTTTCCAGTGATACATATTGATACCGAGTGAAGCAATTAAAACCAAATCAAGTATTCAATTCAAAATCAGTATATCTATCTAGAGGAATAGAATGGTCAAGCTGGTTACTGACCAAAAACACAACGACGTTGAGAATCAGGATTGGCCATGTACAGTACAACTCCAATCAGAAGAAGGTAACGAGAGTCAATTCCATTCTTCCTCCGAAATACTATCTTCCATTAACGCCTCTCATGTCTTTCCAAATCCGGCCCGGATTTTGATTCACTGAAATTCCTTCGGTCCGTGAACTGTTATCGGCAATCAGCGAGCAATTTGGTTTCTAAATTTATGTATGGCGGCAGTTGGGGAAGAGAGGGCAGTATTGGCCTTGCGCCACTCGCCGGAACACGATGATGACCCTCCAGGAAGTCGGGAACGGCACCTATTCTACTTCTTTCCCGTCACAGGTTTCGTCTCGACAGATTCCTCTTTCTCCGCTCCTTTTTTTCCGATCCTCGCAGCCGGAAAGCCTCGCTAGCTGCGGCCTGGCGCTCTATCTGTGAGATTAAGGAGAATGGGCTTTGGAATTTATGAGATTGCACTCTCCAATTAATGGCAAGATGGCAATGGCAAAAAAATCTTCAAAACAAACGACCACTCTCCCGAATCAAGTAATTTAAGTTGATCAAATTTCATTTACTATCCTCTTATATATTTTTTTACTCATTTGATAAAATAATTTAGTCATATCATCTCTTGTATGGTAGAATATTTGATGTACTTTTTTAATACGTACTCCGTAAATTGTTTTTTGATTCGGTTCTAATTGTCAAACAATTTATATTTAAAAAAAACTTCAACCAAATATCATAAACTAAAATAGACAATTTAAATTGTGAGGGAGAGAGTATGTTTTAAGCTAGCAAAAAAATATGGAGTACTTTGAAGGGATTGGGCAATACTAGAGTCATAGACAAAAAAACACTACCTAGTACAAAATTTCTAAACTTATTTTTGAATTCTTTGAAAAGAATAAAATAGTCTCAAATAATTAAAAATGAAAGTATAAATAAAAAATAATAAGTTTGTGGATTTGGTAAACTTTTGTTTGTGATTTTAGACAGAAAATTACTCATGGGTGATGCATGTTTTGTCAATATAATTCTCAGGTCCTCATATTTTTAATAATTTTTAATAAGACAATAAAGGCCTTTACATTTTGTTGTAATGACTGGTAGGGAACATTCCGTTCAATATTTCATCGATAGGTGTTAAAAACGTTTTTTCTTACTCTTCCTTTAATGTTTTGTGGTAATAACTCTTACGTTTCTCACTTTTTTGATTTCTTTGTTTTTCTTTTTTTTTTGTAACTCTTTTTTTGAAACGTTTTTAAAAATCTCTTCTAAGGTCTATGTTACTCCAGAGACACTTAAAATCTTGAACAATATAATTAAAATAGGATCAGTCGTGAACATCATTATTTATAATATCCACATACTTTTTGCAATCGGTCTCCATAATGACGTGATCTCAACCTTTGCCTCTAACCCAACTTAACACTTCTTTGAGAGCAATATCCTATAGCTCAAAATATTCTACCTTCTTTGAACTTGTGCACTTATTTCGTTCTTTTCTTCTAAAACCCCTTCTTTCTTTTGTTGTTCAGTTGTTCATACTCTTCAAGCGCTTTCAGATACTACAATGAGGAGAAATTACCAAGACGTGGTTAAGAGAGAAAAATTTACGAGGTTGAGTAAAAATATGAGTTTGAAAATGACAAAAGATGAATAAAAAGAATGAAGAGCACGTACAAGTAATTTCTTTTTTAACACCATAATCCGTAAAGCCTGTTGACCATTTTGGATGGGATTGTCACGAGGTGAGCAATGCTCAAACTTATATGCAAGATGTTCACCAATAAGTTTAACGATGGTATAAAGTTAGTATTCCAAAGTTTTTTTTGCAAACGACTATTTTCGAAATGGAAATTCATTTGATTTCAAAATATTTGTGTTTAAATCATTATGTTTATAATATTATTAGATATTGATTTTCAACTTGGAAAATCTCTAATTTTTATGTTTTTAATACTTCAATTCTACTAAAAATAATCTTGAAAAGGTTGGGTTAAATTCAAGAATTCACATTCTTGGCTCAAACCTTTTAGCTAATTGATTTCGATAATAATTATAAATCTAAATTTTCTGAATTTATGATGCATATAATGCACTCCGTAATATGTATAAACACAAGATTTTTAGCAAAGCCTTAGTTTAAATAATGTGTGTATCATTTATCACATAATTTCTTCGTTCAACCAAACTCTGATACCAAGTCAAAAAAACAACTCAATCAAAAACTTAAGTTCATAATTGTTCGTGAAGAAAAAGTTTTTATATTCTACCAAAAACTCTGATATGTACTACGTATCTGCTAGTACAGTAGGAAATTTAAATTACAATGAAAGATCACCAAATCACACCTCAAAATTGTACATACAAACTACTATAAGTATAAAACTGAGGAAAACTGACTAGCTAGAAGTCCCGAAAACTCATTTTGGGGTCTTGTTTCCTACCACCCGGCCCTCGCCCCCTCCCTCTTCCTCTTCCCCTCCCCCTACCCCTTCCCTTCCAGTGCCTAGAGAACGATTTCGCATGTTTCATTTCCAGAAAAGAATGCAGAAGCTCGTCGCAGAGAATGCATCCCTTATGAAGTGTGCTTCCATCCTTCAACGGTGTCGTTTTCTTGTTGAAGTCGACTTCTATGATGGTGGAATCACATTGAGGGCACCGGTCTCTGGTGGTGGCAATCCGATGGGCACCTTCAGCCAGAAAGACAAGGCAGTTGCATGTGTTACAATTTAGCCTCCACTTGGGGGCACTAACTGGGTCAAGGACAAGCGTTCCGCTGCATTCTGGGCAGGCACAGACCCCTTGAGTTATCATGGAATGCTGACATGTTGGGTGGGGACACAGAAAGCAAGGCATCCCAACTCCCTTCCCCAGCTTGGCAGAATCTGGGGTACCCTCCGATCTAGGGGCACCGAATAGTGTGGCAATGCCTTCATATGGAGGACAGTTGTAGCAATAGGGACAGAACGGGAATGACTTGCCTTCTGGCCCGGGTATGCTGAACAATAATAGCTCAAAATTATCCAGAGGGCATGCTAGTTCCTTGTATAGCTGCATGGGTAGGAAAATTTAACATACTTTAGCTCTGACAGTTTATTAATGCAAATAATAAGGGCATCAAGAAATTAGAGAGAAGAAGACCCATTCTTTTCAATAATACAATTCAATAGAGATTCATCTCATTATTGTTAACACTATTTAGGCCTGATGTTAACACTTTCCCCTTTGTTGTGACTCCTTTATATCAAGTTAGGTTATCCCATAACAAAATCCCTAATGACCTCTTTTTATTTCAAAATTCCTACCCCTCTCAGTTAATCTTGAATGTCATGTTCTTTTCTAACTGTTACTGCTTAGACATCAGCTTCTTACGGAGTATTGTTATTATTGTAATTTTACTTCCAAAAGTAGTCAAATCAGTAACTATACTTCCAAAAACATTCAAATTCTATGCCAATGCTGTTTTTCTAAATTAACTATACTCTCCAAAGTCAAAACCATGCCTTAGAAATCCTATTGGTTCAATAATTTTCGTCAGCATCGTTTTCACCCATGGTTCTTTTTTATTATTCAATAAAATCAAAGCATGGAAATCCATAAGGCTTCTATTATCTTTCATATTATGTATCAAATGTGACTGATTTGCTTAATGTTGCGTATTTGTCTAATAAAGTTCATTTCTTTTGATATCATTCTTCAGCTTGTGAATTACTGATTGTAGGCCACAAATTCTGAAAGGGGGTAATCTGAAACAGAAAATTAATTGGAAAATCAACCACAATGATTCTCTGATCTGTAGAATACAGCTCACATGAGAAACATGAGAGATTGGTCTGACAGAGTTTGCAACCTGAAAATGCCAATTTCTGTAGAGCATATTCTAGCATAAGATTTAGAGAGTTTCAGCAGTTGTGAATTTTAATACCTTGATTGTTCCTTTTTGAGGAACATAATAAACTTCCTCACAAGTATTGCAGTATAGTCGTGATGGCTGCGTAGATACATACTTCATGTAGCGCAAGCATTTGCCACATTTACTTAGTAAGCGCCCAGACTCAGATAGTGGAGAAAATTGTGCTTCAAACAATGCATCCATATTCTCAATCTAAATAGAGAGGACAAAATTTAGATTGCCAATGAATGCATCTTTCACACATAATGCGCATACACGATATTTCATGTCATGAAAAAGAAAGAATGGTCAATTTACAGAACTCCAGCATCAAGGAAAGAGAGAAATGGCATAAAAGTGCTTCCGCAAGCAATACTTTTAAATCTCGACCTTTCGATCTTATCTATGTTTCTGACTTTCTGTGCACCCCTTTTTTTCTTGTCTTTTTTTTATTTTTTCCCTTTTCCATAAAAGCCATCTTAACTCATTGATGTCTAATGATGATCATGCATATGAAAGAAAACGAATTATGGTTTTGAGGTTTATCTCATTATATTTATTTACAAAAGTGTACATAGAAAAAAATATAGTACACAATCTATAACTGCAGAAGAATGTTCATGGACCTTGGAAGGGCTCTAATAATATCAGAAACTTAACCAAACGCAAAAAGAAGATGCAAAAATATTTGAAAATCGGAGACCATATTTGTGATTCAAACAGGTTCAATTTATTTAAGTTTGGGACATACTTCATAGAAAGTAATTTTTAATTAAGGTTGGTACCCCTTGGTGCATTTTTAGAATATAAATTCTTTGTACTTTTAAAAGTATCAACAACAGGGCTGGCGACAATACAGCATTGTAGAGAAACCAAAGATGCAATTACAACACAACCTGGAAATCTGACTTGCATCTCTTTTGCTAAAAAAAACTGATCTTTGAGAATTAAGATAATCAAAGAGACTCTCATTTCATGAAGAAAAGTGATAGGAGTTGCTCTTTTTTCATGACAGACTTACAGGAGGTAATCTAAAAGAGCTTATACCCAAAGGAAAAATCAACAGGCATTAGTTGCTTACCTGCTTAACAAAATAGCTGAACTTCCTTTTAAACTGTTCTAGAACATGCTCCACAACCAAAGAATGATCTGCTTGCCCTTTAGCTACAAGTGTGATCTGTTGCTCTATGAAACTTCGAATGTCAGGCAAGCAAAGATCCGGATCTATGCACTGATAACCTCTTATCAAGCTGATCCCTAAAGGAGTGGGGAACAATCTCCGTCCAGCCTGCACCTGCAGTTAAAGACATTATTTAGAAGTATCAGTAAATGGTACCTTTTTCCATTCAAGCTGCATGGAAGGGACTCAGTTGACAAAAAGCTACAGAAAATTAAGGAAAAGATTGCATACCTGGACATAGTTGCGTTCACATATGTTGTTGATATGAACAGGAATAGATGCATCAGTTCCTATTCCATATTTCTCCATCAACGAGATCAGCTCACTTTCACTTAGGTGATCGGGAGG